TTTTTTTTTTTTTTTCTTTGAAAATGTAGAAACATTTTTAATATTGTTTGCAGATATTTAAAAGATTCTTAATTTACAGATTTAGTAAGCATGTATATTTATGTCTTTGTCGCACGCTTTGTGTTCTTATTTTACATTCTTATTACCAATTCTATATTAAGAAAAGAGTACATACGTTCTATAGAGAAGGAAAATTTTCAAGGAACGAATTATTTCATTGAAAGATACGTCGCCATATACCTTTCTTTACTTTTCATTGGTGTTTTTTTCAGAACAAAGTAACTTGCAAAGGATAATAATTCACATTTGCCTCGCTTAATTTTACATTATGCAAATATGTATGAAAATAATCACCAGTTTCAATGGTGAATGATAAGCACAGGAGTGTGATTAAAGAGTCGTCGCGTGTTGGCTAATAATTTCCTCTTTGAATTTCTTTTCCTGATACGGTAACCTTAAAGGCTATGGCCACACCTTGTAGGTGAAGGTCCCCGCCAAGTCAAAAGAACAATCGATCGTCCGGTGCTTTGAATGAAATCTTAGTAAAAACGTGTCCTTTTATCGTTAAAAGAATTTGAATAGCAGTATCAAAACACGTACGCTTTGACACGTGTTTTGAGATACGAATACAAGCTTCGTATTTTGAGATTATCCATAAGAAGAGAGAATTTTTTTTATAGATTTCATTCGTTTCGAAGGCTCTATTTAGCTCTTATATTTGCTAAAATATTTGCTACCGCTTCGTTGAATGAAATAGAACAGTCCAAGTAGAATTACTCGAGAGATTACGTGTACAGGACTGATTTGTGTCATCAGATACTACTTCGCTTCTGGTTGTACGCTCTTGGCTGTTTCTGGCTAGGCAGTATTCTAAAACGCGATAAACCACATCGATCGTGTAATAAATTACCGGAAGGCAAAGAAATTTCTCTCCATATGAAGCAGACGAAGAACTTCTAAAATTTCATTCCTCGTATTGATAATTAACACTGAACGTACCAACGGCCCCTTTTCAAAATTTACTTTAAATAAAAATATATATGTTTGAGTATTTTATTAGAAATCAGAAGTTATGTTGAAAATTATTTCCTTTAATAAATTGAGAATTTCTTTCTAAAAAAGTTATGTTGCAGAAATTATTTCCTTTAATAAATTAAGAATTTCTTTCTAAAAATCAACGTTTACTTGTAAGGCGTCAAACGACCCCTTTTCAAAATTTACTTTAAATAAAAATATATGTTTGAGTATTTTATTAGAAATCAGAAGTTATGTTGCAAATTGTTTCCTTTAATAAATTAAGAATTTCTTTCTAGAAATCAACGTTTATTCATAAGGGGTCAAATGACCCCTTATGGTAAGATAGGTATATGTAAAATGCCGGTACGCTGATGTATTAATTATTATACCTACAACTGTTAATTTATGTCGGTAGGAAACTGTTAAACTAATAGTTCAGACATACTTAACTCATACTATATACTTGACTCTGTTATATTCTTTGGTAATATTAGCAATTCTGCTTTTTTTTTTTTTTTTTTTT